TCGATGATTTTTTTTTTTAATATCTCGGGTAATAGCTCCGCGGGGAGATATGACGTTCCAAAACGACATAGCTCCGCGGGGAGATATGACGTTCCAAAACGACATAGATCCGCGCGGAGATATGACGTTCCAAAACGACATAGCTCCGCGGGGAGATATGACGTTTCAAAACGACATAGCTCCCGCGGATTCAAAATAGAGGTCGGTGCGAAAATCGAAACTTTTTCGATGATATTTTTTTAATATTTCGATCAAATAATGTCCGATTTAGGAATTTTTTACCATTTTTGACTCGTAAGGATCAGTTCTATCGATTGGCATTAAAAAGGACATCCAAAATGTTGACCCAAATCGACAAAATGGCAAGAGGTTACATCACTTTTTTTTTTTTTCAAAAACGAGGTCGGTGCGAAACTCGAATTTTTATCGCTGATTTTTTTTTAATATCTCGGGTACTAACTCCGCGGGGAGATATGACGTTCCAAAACGACATAACTCCGCGCGGAGATATGACGTTCCAAAACGACATAGCTCCCCTCGGATTCAAAATAGAGGTCGGTGCGAAAATCGAATTCTTATCGATGATTTATTTTTTTAATATCTCGGGTAATAGCTCCGCAGGGAGATATGGCGTTCCAAAACGACATAGCTCCCGCGGATTCAAAATAGAGGTCGGTGCGAAAATCGAATTTTTATCGATGATTTTTTTTTAATATCTCGGGTAATAACTTAGCGCGGAGATATGACGTTCCAAAACGACATAACTCCGCGCGGAGATATGACGTTCCAAAACGACATAGCTCCGCGCGGAGATTTGACGTTCCAAAACGACATAGCTCCGCGCGGAGATATGACGTTCCAAAACGACATAGCTCCCCTCGGATTCAAAATAGAGGTCGGTGCGAAAATCGAATTCTTATCGATGATTTATTATTTTAATATCTCGGGTAATAGCTCCGCAGGGAGATATGGCGTTCCAAAACGATGATTTTTTTTTTTTAATATCTCGGGAGATATGACGTTCCAAAACGACATAGCTCCGCGGGGAGATATGACGTTCCAAAACGACATAACTCCGCGCGGAGATATGACGTTCCAAAACGACATAGCTCCGCGCGGAGATATGATGTTCCAAAACGACATAGCTCCGCGCGGAGATATGACGTTCCAAAACGACATAGCTCCGCGCGGAGATATGATCTTCCAAAAGGACATAACTCCGCGCGGAGATATGACGTTCCAAAACGACATAGCTCCGCGCGGAGATATGACGTTCCAAAACGACATAGCTCCCCGCGGATTCAAAATAGAGGTCGGTGCGAAAATCGAATTTTTATCGATGATTTTTTTTTTTAATATCTCGGGTAATAGCTCCGCGGGGAGATATGACGTTCCAAAACGACATAGCTCCGCGGGGAGATATGACGTTCCAAAACGACATAGCTCCGCGCGGAGATGTGACGTTCCAAAACGACATAGCTCCGCGCGGAGATATGACGTTCCAAAACGACATAGCTCCCCTCGGATTCAAAATAGAGGTCGGTGCGAAAATCGAATTCTTATCGATGATTTATTTTTTTAATATCTCGGGTAATAGCTCCGCAGGGAGATATGGCGTTCCAAAACGACATAGCTCCGCGGGGAGATATGACGTTCCAAAACGACATAGCTCCGCGCGGAGATGTGACGTTCCAAAACGACATAGCTCCCCGCGGATTCAAAATAGAGGTCGGTGCGAAAATCGAATTTTTATCGATGATTTTTTTTTTTAATATCTCGGGTAATAGCTCCGCGGGGAGATATGACGTTCCAAAACGACATAGCTCCGCGGATTCAAAATAGAGGTCGGTGCGAAAATCGAATTTTTATCGATGATTTTTTTTTTATATCTCGGGTAATAACTTAGCGCGGAGATATGACGTTCCAAAACGACATAACTCCGCGCGGAGATATGACGTTCCAAAACGACATAACTCCGCGCGGAGATATGACGTTCCAAAACGACATAGCTCCGCGCGGAGATGTGACGTTCCAAAACGACATAGCTCCGCGCGGAGATATGACGTTCCAAAACGACATAGCTCCCCGCGGATTCAAAATAGAGGTCGGTGCGAAAATCGAATTTTTATCGATGATTTTTTTTTTAATATCTCTGGTAATAGCTCCGCGGGGAGATATGACGTTCCAAAACGACATAGCTCCGCGGGGAGATATGACGTTCCAAAACGACATAGCTCCGCGCGGAGATATGACGTTCCAAAACGACATAGCTCCGCGGGGAGATATGACGTTCCAAATCGACATAGCTCCCGCGGATTCAAAATAGAGGTCGGTGCGAAAATCGAAACTTTTTCGATGATATTTTTTTAATATTTCGATCAAATAATGTCCGATTTAGGAATTTTTTACCATTTTTGACTCGTAAGGATCAGTTCTATCGATTGGCATCAAAAAAAAGGAAATCCAAAATGTTGACCCAAATCGACAAAATGGCAAGAGGTTACATCACTTTTTTTTTTTCAAAATCGAGGTCGGTGCGAAAATCGAATTTTTATCGCTGATTTTTTTTTAATATCTCGGGTAATAACTCCGCGGGGAGATATGACGTTCCAAAACGACATAACTCCGCGCGGAGATATGACGTTCCAAAACGACATAGCTCCGCGCGGAGATATGACGTTCCAAAACGACATAGCTCCCCTCGGATTAAAAATAGAGGTCGGTGCGAAAATCGAATTTTTATCGCTGATTTTTTTTTAATATCTCGGGTAATAACTCCGCGGGGAGATATGACGTTCCAAAACGACATAACTCCCCGCGGATTCAAAATCGAGATCGGTGCGAAAATCGAATTTTTATCGAGGATTTTTATTTAATATCTCGGGTGATAGCTTAGCGCGGAGATATGACGTTCCAAAACGACATAACTCCGCGCGGAGAAATGACGTTTCAAAACGACATAGCTCCGCGCGGAGATATGACGTTCCAAAACGACATAGCTCCGCGCGGAGATAAAGCAATGATAAAATGAATAAAATGATATCAAAATCATTTGACAAATACAAAATAGAAAATTGTATGAAGAGAAGGGCTTGAATAGGCTATTACGAATTTCAATGATTTTCCTACATTTGCATAACTTTAATAAATCGCACAGTGCCCCCCTGTGGATGCACGGCATTTCGATCCGGGAAAATTCTGCCAAATTTCAGCGTAAAAGAGTGCAAGTCATGCAAAATAAAGCAATGCACTTAATCACGGTTTGTCCATGGTAGGTCAGGAACTTAACTCTGCATAGAGACCTGAATCTAGCGGTTGCCGAGGACGAGATCGCTTCCACTCCAGCCGATACGATGATCGACTATTGGTTCACAGCAATCGCTTGGGAAGACCCCTGGTTACATCCAAGGCATAATTCGTTACTACAACCAAATTACTTATTTTAAATACTGTTTATTGTACGAACAACTTACTGGATACTAAACGCATTATAGGATGCCCTGAGCCCTAATTGCCACTTATTTAATTAAATTATAGAAAAGGAGACATATAGCCTCTTTACATATTTTAATAAGTACAGGGTATTAAAATTTAAATTATCGGAGCACTTCGTCTAGAAAAAGAATCATATTATGGAATAACACCAAACTTTGATCCATTCATGTGGCTTGTGATTTAATTGTCTGTGTGCCATGAACTAGCCTAGAATCAATATAATTAAGTTTGGCGAATGAGAAACATTATTCGACGAATCTTTTGCTCTCGCTTGGGGGCCTACACATAATTAAATACTTATTAGCAATGGCAGAGTACGTCAAACACAAATCCCATTGCGGAAGTAAGGTGCGTATAATCTTCAAGAAAAAATCCCAGAGAATTTGTTTGGAGGGAAATAAAATGGCAAACATTTAACCCGTTCTATTGAACATTTGAGCCCAGACAGCAGACAAATTGCGTACATTAATAACATTATCAGTAAACCAGTAAGGGTGTGCTAGTCGAGAGTGCACGACTACGAGATACCCTACAGCACTTACCATGACAAAATGAGCAAGTGGGATAAATATCCAAAATAAAAGGCTCTATCTTGAAAACTTTTTGTTTGAGGTAAAAATTTTTTAGGTCTTTTAGGCTCGAACATCGATGACGGGGATAGAAATAGAAGGATTTGAGTGAGAGCATTTGGAAAATTAATTCAGAGTTTTTAAAGGCAGATCAATTTAATTTATAAATTATTAGATTTATTTAATGGTTTCAGGGGATGTTTTCGGTGCGTTATGATGGCAATCATGATATTGTTTGTTATGATTTAGTTGATTAGCGTAATTATTTTAGCCCCTATATTAACTCATGTAGATGGCCTTAATCGTGAGCTGACAACAAATAATGATAGAATTGATTCGCGTTTCGCTGCGTTTTGCACATAAATTAATTAAGCAATCGATCATTTCGAGATCTCAAGGAGTTCGCATCTAGCTGCAAAGACAAAACTGCAACGGAAACCAAGAGAGATGTTGTTTGATTGTTTAATCAGTTTGTTTAAGCTAATGTTGATGCGTTGTCAATGGCCGGTGGAGAGCTCCAAACTGATCACTTGAAGCTTTGATTTATGGCCACGAAGAGCAGCAGCAACAACAGCCATCAAACACAACAGGTCACATTAAAGGAAGCCAGATGAGATCTGATGCGAATGCGAGTGCGAGTGGGAGTGCGAGCGAGAGGGCGATACGAGCGTCGAGTAGATCATCAAATCAAATGTCAGAGGTTCGCATAGCCAAATAATTGAGCAATTAATTAGCCACGATATTATAGAAAAAAAATACAAAATGATAGCAACAACAGCAACAACAACAGAAATATGAATAGTGTATATTGAATATTGAGTATTTTGAGGAGGGAATCGCTTTGGGGCCTAAATAATCAACTATAAAAACCCAAATGGCAGCGAGGAGCAGCAACAGTTAATCAACAACTGAAGCTCAACCAAGTCTAACTCCAACATGCGTCTCTTTGTGGTAAGGCTTTAAGGATAACCCAAGGATTACCTGCCAGCTGCCTGTCACGATCTACAATTACTCCTTTTACGTAACAGACTCTTTGCACGCTCCTCGCCTTGGCACAGGCCAAGCCGCAAGGCTACAACTATGGCAGCGGCGTCTCTGGTACTCTGACCACCACGGGCGGTGGCGGTCACAGTGGCTCCTTTCTCAGCGCACCTAGCGCCGCCCAAAATGTTGCTAGCTATGGACCACTGGGTGCCTTCCAGGGTGCCAGTGTTGGCTCTCTGCTAAGCAGCAGCGGCTCCGGCGCCGGCTCGGGATATGGTCAGCCCGGCAGCACGATTGGTTTTGGCGGCGGCTCATCCTCGAACTATGGTGGCGCTGCTCCATTTGTGGGCAACACTTATACCCAAAGCAGCGGCGGCTACAATGGCGGACGTACCACCTCTGGCTTTGGCGGCGCCAGCTATGGCGGCGTTGACAGTGCCGCGAACAGTTTCGCCGGGTTTGGACCCACGCCCAACATTGGTTTCGGGGGCCTTGCCGGCTACCAGGCGCCCAACAACCAGCATCAACAGCAGGAGGAGCAACGCGTTGCCTTTGAAGCACCGATTGTGCACAAACAGTTCATAACTGTGGCCGCGCCCGAAGAGCATGAGAATCTGGAGCGTGTCAAGCATCTGGTTATTGGTCGTCCCCAGAAGAACTATCGCGTCGTCTTCATCAAGGCGCCCTCGTCGAGCAACGCCAACGTAAAGCTATCGGCCGAGTATGCACCCAAGGAGGAGAAGACTGTCATCTATGTGCTCAGCAAGAAGGACTCTACGCTCGAGGTCAACGATATTGCAACACCTGCGCCCACCATTCCCAGCAAGCCCGAAGTCTTCTTTATCAAGTACAAAACCGAAGCAGAGGCATCTCATGCCCAGCAGCAGATTCAGGGTAAGTTTGCCACACAGACACCATTTCTGAATGCCCTTTTTCTTAAACATATTTCCATCACACAGCCGAATACGATCGCATCGAGGGCACCTCGGAGCACACCGATGGCGGCGTGGCACCTGCCCAATCTGTCGTTGGCATATTGGATGCCGGTAGCAACGGCTCTGCTGGCGGCCAAACTGTCATTAGCAACAGCGGCCAATCTGGCAGCCATGGCATCATCAGCGGCAGCGGCAGCAGCAGCATCGGACTGGGCAATGTACACAGAGGCAGCCAGAGCTCGACATATTTGCCGCCTAGCCATTAGATAGGCTTCAGCAGCAGCTAACAATTATTTTTTTTACTACTTTAGTTGCAATAGTCTATACAGTGTTTTTTTTTATGCTCCCTAATAAAATAACTCTCTGATGAACAAGCATTGTAACGTGGAAGTGTCCATATATGGCATATCTCAGTTGTAATTGAGAAAACTTAAAAATTGTTTTAACGCTTTAAATAACAAAGTAAATAAAAATAACATTTGAAAACATTTAAGCGTAATAGAGTTGACATTATTGGGGCGCCCGAGTCCCTTGACTGCCGTATAACAAATAGGGATAGTAGATAGATGAATAGGAATGTTGAAAATCCTTGATCGCTTCAAATCCAACAAATGTCTAACTAATCTCTCATTATATTGCCACCCGAGCAGCGACAGCGAAAAAAGATCAAGTGAAAGTCCAAAATGTAAAATTTAGGAACTGAAATTGAGAAAACGTTATGACAACTCACCGACAGATTTGATGGCCTGCTTGAGCAGCAGATCCGACTGACTCTTGTCCAGGGCGTCGATGTCGCGGCAGTTGCGATAGAGACTGCTGATGGTAGACTCCACCGAATAGGCTCGCTCAGCGACATTGGGCAGCATGGATATGAAGCGATTCAGTTCGTTGAGTTCTAAATGAAAGTGAGCAAAGTGAGTTGTAGGTAATACATAGGCTTAAAAACAGTATAGCTCTTACCCTGATACTCATTGTAAGTCTTGTAGTTCCATTCGCCTCGTTTAATCACATAGTAATCGCCTTTGGCGTATTCGTCGGCAAAGTTGCCGCACGCCCACTCGTAAGTCTCGTGGCAGGCGCTCTTTGATGTGTTGGCCCAGAGCAGCAGCTGGCGGCTGCTTTCGACGCACTCCCGCTGCAGGCAGAGCGGTGCACGCATGTAAAATGGCACCTCGGGCCAAAAGGCCAGCAGCATGAAGATGATCACCAGGAGCAGGGCGCACAGGCAGGCGGTGGCCACATATAGTATGCGTCGCTTGCGCGACAGGCTCATCAGTGCGTCAAAGGAGCGTCGTCCTGGAAGCAGCAAGGCTATATTCCATGCGAATCGTGGCATGAAAGGATGATATGTGCATAAAATATGATCATGATTAGGATGGATGCTGTGATCTAGTCGTGTTTCTAAAAGCTATTGTCATTTATTTTCATAACATTTCATGCATTCATTACGAATATATATTTGAAAATCCATTGAAAATTAAAAAAAAAAAATTAAATTAAAATTAACTCTGGATCCTTTCTTATTTGACATGTATGTAATATCGTCTGGTCCAGTCGAAAGTCGTGATCCGTACGAGTCAATAATGTTATAACCCAATTTTTGTCATAAATTGTGATGTCTCCCCTTGCCCCTTAGTCAAATCGATGATAGGGATACTTGCGAGTCTAAAAAGGTAGCACAATCTTCAAGAAAGTTTTGACTCTCGAAACGACTCCGTTTCTTGCCATTTTTGTTAAAAGGCTCAAATGATGAGAAAATAAACTGAACTCGACAAATTGCATTGCCTACGTGATAGGGGCAAAAATTGTAGGTCTCTGCTATTAGCAATCGTTTGTAAAGTCGGTAGCTACAGCTGCTAGGTTGAACGCTAAGCAGCTGCTGGAATAATGAGCATCCATTTTTGTGCGAATTACGCTTTGTACCTTTAGGCTCAGTTGGACTACATGGCAAAAAATTGTACCCATTTTGGTGAAAAACGGTTGGAAAACATAACTTTTACGATAATTTTTTTTTTTTTAATACCTCAGTTAAATGACGTCTGATTTTGGAATGTTATATCTGTTTGTATTCGTACGATTTGGAAAATCACACCCGCAACAGCGATAAATTGGCGGAAAACGATTGTATAAAAGTTATTTATTTGCAGTCTGATTAGTTTCAAAATCATTTTCAAAGTTTTTTGAGAAAATGTATAATGTTTTATACGTGCCACGGGCAAGGTCGGGTTATACGCGGTAATATATAAAAATGTGTAATTATGGATAGGTTTAAAAAGTGAAAACAATATGAAATGAATCGCAATTCTTTCTCTATCTCGACTGTCGCAACAGCTGATTCTGTTACTGCCGCTGTCCGTGTCTCACCTCTCAGTCCGTTGGCGGATGCATGCGTCGAGTTGGGTGTATTCGCTGTGGGCGTTACCCCACCGCCCACCGCACTGTCATCGCTGAGCGCCTCCTTGCGTGCCGCCTCCAACTCCTTGGGCGTCAGGCCAGCCTCCTCCATATGCAGTTTCTGTTGATTGGTGGTCAACGGAGCCGTTTCGCTGCCCTCGATCTGCTGCTTGCTGCCGTGGCCGTCGATGCGCTCGTCATCCTGGCTCGTGTGCAGCTTGTAGCTGCGATCGTCCACCTCATCGATGGCACAGATTGTCGGCTTATACTTGCCCTGATTCAGGGCCATGCTGTCTCTAAAGCACTCTGTCCCTTAAAGAATACTTTGATCTGCGCTAATTTAAGCGCATTTTAGGCTAACTGTAAGAAAAAAAAGAAAACAACAATGTATGCGCATACAGAAATAAATTATTTCAAATCTCAGACACTTATAATTGGCCATATGGCCGATGGGTGCAAGGGGCGCAAATTCAACATATGTAGTATATGGCAATTGATAGTCATATATATGAGTAGTTGCTCAGTCGGTTGGTCGTTGTCGTTTTATCAGCGTGTCTGGAGCTTAACGTGACGCTTGATTATCAAAAGATTACCTTGAGACATGATATACAAGTCAAACAGAGCACACACACATACACACAAAGACTATGTAGAGCATCGCAGATAAGTAATATAAGAAATTGCTCTGAGATAGCGCCCACTCAGTTAGTCAGCTGGCCATATATATATGGGATATGGTATCTGGTATCTGGTATATGTGTACGTTGCGTGCCATAAAGATCCATGTATACACATATATAAATATGTATCTGTATCTGTATATATTAGCGTTTGCAGATATTTACGTGCATATAGCTTGTGCATATTCCTGTCCACAGTTGACTTCTTTTCAATTTTAAATTGACAACAATTGCTGCCAATTTGCGAGCCAGCTCAGGCGACGTCTCTTTGTTTCTTTTGACATTCTCACTTGCAAATCCCTTATATAGACCAATCTATCTATAAATAGAGCGGATTTGTGCACAATTGTGCATAAATTTTAATTGACCAAATTAGCTGGGGACGTGCACGTAATTAAAAATGCAAAAACCCCACCAATTATAATTGCCCATTGACACACAAATCTTTAACACTCCAGATCTTTCATGGCAGCGTGCCGCAACTCGTCCACCTCTAAGGAGAACATATTATTGCTACGCCTTTGGGGCGGCTACGCTGGGGGCTCGTTCTGGGCAGCTGCGCTTAAAATAGTTTACAATTTGTAATTTAATAGCCAGTTTGTCATATAATCTTCAGAGCGAGCAGCCACCCACAACGTCAGCTTGGGGTGCATTTGAAACTGGGGATTGATCAGTTATAAGATACCCTCCAGTCGAAGAGTAGAATAGAATACAAAATATGTTATAGTCTGAGTGTAACTGGACTTTAAAATGATCGATATTTATCGATAAATCTGAATAGAATGCGAAGGCTATTTAAATTTGTAAGATTAATGGAATGATCCCCTTCTACAATAGAGCACAGTTCATTGCCCTGATCAATAATATATATACTATATGGTATTGAAAATATAGTCTTATATCATTTACATAAGTGTAGACAACTTGAATATACCCTTTTTGCCTCTGGCTGCAGGGTATATGTTTACCAACGATAACTCAACGGAAGGGGCAGGCAGATTAGGTGACCATCAATGACTGTGCTGGACTTGAATGATTTATCATATCATTGCAAGGCCCGCAAAGCTTCTGAGATCCCGATATGAGATGGTCAGTTTGAAACTTGCGGCTGGATTACGCAATGTAGCTAGGCTAGGGAGCTAATGGCAGCAACAGGCCAAGCAAAGTGAGCCACTCAGGGCTATCTTATCGGCAGAGCGATTATTGCTTAATTCAGGCCCATTTTTATTCATTGGCACTAAGCAATAAAGAATGCGTCTATCTCGGCGCGATTGTGCGACAATCTCAGATTACTTTGGGCCGGGCCAAATGAAATGTATTCATTATCGAGCTCGAAAGAAACTAAGTTAAATAATTTATGTAGTTTTTTTAGCGTTATTTTTTTTTTAATTAAAAATAATGTGCATACGTAATAATTATAAGGGTTTTTTTAATGAAACCCCCGAACTACTATCAAGTATTTCACCCTCTCCCTCTTTATTGCTCTCGCTCTCTCTCTCTCACAAACTCTTTATCGAGCCAAGGACCACTTCAAAAGGCCATGGCCCAAAATACGTTGGCAATGTGGAACGTAACTCAGTTAAGTAATAAGCAGATAAGTAACTGTAGTTAGTCAGTTTAAAATCGAAGGCAAGATTCTTCATTTGTACTTCAACCCGAATTCCTTATTTAACCGTTAGTTAACATTATAGTTAAATTGCAAATCGAATAGCAAACAGCATGTCGCGAAATGACGAATTTACATAAATCTGTTGCAAATTAATGCCAGTTGACCATTTGAGCTTAGAGCTCGTGTTTCGTGTTGTATTGAACAACACTAGCACGAGTCCATCTCTAAAATATGACACGTACATTCGATACATTCTGACATCTGCTACATGATATGAAAGCCCATTTTGGTTGACAAGTTGTGTGCTTCAAATAATCAATATTAATCATGAGCATGCACACATAAGTTGCATGCTACGAATATATTTATGCTGAATATTTGCATACTCTGTTCTTAATCACATATTAATCAAGCATTATGGGCTGCTATGTAGGTTAATCATCTGCTGACATGTAGGTTAATCAGAGCTGACAAATGCTCGTCAATAAATCACACTTTATCCGTGTCTAGAGCACTGTAATTATGCGCATAGCTGCCAGCTACGAGACTGCGGATTAATCATTGTTGAGCTGCGATTTGTCGCATTATTAATTTCCGCGTTTCCAAATTCAATTTTGTTTATTTTTGATATACACATATATCTTCTTTTGCACTTTGCACCTTGAGCTGACCATAGCGAAAATTTATGTTCAAAAAAAAAAAAAAAAATCAAAAAAAAATAATAATAATAATAAAAAATGCAAATGCAAGATGATTTTTAATGGGGCGCAGCGATGACGCCGACGTTCATCAAAGCAAAAGTGCCGCAATGGCACTTTGAATAATAGGCACACGCTCCAATACAAGTCGAAAAAAACAACACACACACGCACACAGACACTCGTATTTGAAAATTGAAAGATATATATATATATAAATTTATTTGTGTGTGGCTTGATTCGACTTCTAAATGGTAAGCCCTGTGCAAGTGTTCCAGCCAAAATGCTTATGCCGCATTAAACGTCCGGGTTAGACCCAATTTAGGCGGCTTCCTGCTTGGCTCGACTTTGCTTTTGGCTTCTGCTATTGCGTTGCACTCCGTTAAGGCAACAAACAGCTTGCAACACATTGCCACATCAGAGCTTCAAAGTGCTGCGCACTTTGCGTTGTCTTCTTTCTGCCTTGTCGTCGAGGGGGTGGATTCCTGACACTGGCTGCTTTTGCGACGCAATTCTTGATTTGCTTAAAGTCAAGCCTCACTTAGAGGAGGAACAACATTTGAACATCCATTGGTGGTATATTATTATTTGAGTCAGATACAGATATTCAGAATTAGGCTGTATTAATACAGTTTTGGTACTTAAAACATTCTAGACTTCAAAATATAAAAATGTAGCTCGTGAAAAGACTTGTTTAGCCAAGAACCTTTATTTAAGCCAGAGCAACTGAATAACGAGCAGCAGCACCTAAAAATATAGCCTTGGGCTAAGGGCTATATAGACTTTTGTATGACATGCTCAAGTCCTTAAAATTTTTGCAAAGATCGGACCATAAGCACCGAAGTTTATCCAGCATAAGGTTGGGTGTGTGTGTGTGTGTGTAATTTTGTGAGTGTATTTAAAGAAGGAAGTTCAAATAATTGTATCGACAGCGGGGTTGAGGGTACCTCCAAGTCGTGCACTCCCGACTAGAGCACACTTACTTGATTTTTATAGTTCTAGAGTCATTTTTGGCACCGAGATTTGCATTTATGTACACATAAATCTGCACATCCCACACCTCAGCTCACCTCAACCAGTTCAGCCCACGTGACATTCGCTTTGGCTCACCATAAATGGTCTCATAAGTTGAACCCCATTCGGAGCCGGGCAGCATTTTATTAACTATGCCAACTTGCTGGCGATCACAGGGGCTGGCTCAAATAAATAAAACCAAGCCGACTGCCAATTTGACAGCCACAAATTGAATAATCACAGTGGCACACACATTGTTTAGCGTGCACACGACAACATGCCACATTCAAACACATTTCATATTGAATGTTATACAAATTAAACGCATGGAAATTCAATTTGACGGCGTGCGTAATTGGCTGTCAGATTTGCGCACCTGTCGAGCTGATCAGCTGTCAGCTTGTCATGTTATTGAGCTACAATTTGTTATGATATACTCTATACTCTACAAAAGGGGTATTTCACTTTATCCAAGAGCTATGTAACGCTTTAAAGGAGACATCTGTTGTTATTCTGTGCGCCTGATCAAAGGACTGTATCATTGAAAGAATCGATCAAAAATGGGTTTTGCTTGTTTCATTTACATTCGCTTATTCGATTCTTTTTATTTGTAAGCTATCTAATCCTAACTCAGCAATAACTCGTTTTATTATGTTCCCAATCTTATCTACATTGTTCGGACATGTGTATGAACACATTTACGTTAATTCTAACAAAAGTTGAACATTTGACAGGCTTAATTAAACATTTTTGAATTATGAATCCTGCGTCTTATCTTTGCATTACGAAAATTGTATTATTTAAACAACTGAGCTTACATTTGGGAAAATCAAATATCCCTTACTTTACTTCATTGAATGCCTGTCCTGTTTGCAGGGTATTTAGACGTTGATATGCCGCAGTGAGCTTTAATGTCTAAACTTCATTTGTTACTCTACCAGAGAAGTTCGCTTGATTGTTAACGTTGTTGTTGTTGTTCTTGTTGTTGTTGTTGTTGCACGTTTCGAATGTTGTTCACTTTGTGCTATTGACATTTAATTTGGCTTAATGGTGCACCGAACATCGTCGCCCATTATTAAAAAGTGTTTCCAGATACTCGGAACAGCGACAAAAACAAACAAGTGTGCTGCGAGCGGAAGCGCCCGACTAGTAGATACCCTGTGATAAGATCTGTCACATATAGTACATAATTGTTAAATATATATTTTGTTGAAAGGGCATTCAGAGGACGTTCAAATATGTGTAAATACAAAAAAAATCGAAGTCTATTTACAGCTTATTAAAAACAGACTGACACGACAGATCGAGTCCGAATTGATATGTTACCTTTTAAGGTAAAAGTTGGCGCCTTTGGCCTCTTACGCAAACTAGCTCAAGTTCATTATACCCTTTTGTGCACATTATTAATGGGCATGAGGTACAGACAGAAACTATTTGACGTTCGTATTGGGCAGCTCTGCCCACCGATAACCTTGCCGTCAGCTCGGCTTGCACAACATCAGCAACAACTACAACAACAACAAACAGAGCTCGGAATGGCTGTTGTTGTTGAAATAAATGTGTCAACAATTTGTCAGCCTAGTTGTAGTTACTAAGCAGCGACGCCAACAGCGACTGCGGCAGCGACAGCGCTGTTTACGCTCAGCTGTGCACAAGGCAAGGTGAATATGTCTGATCAGCAGCAGCTGATAAGAGAATATGCAGCAAAATGTTTTAAAATATGTTTGCACACATACAGTGTATGCCCGCTATGATGCACGGAACCTATTGTTTCATAGTGTAAATACTACAGTGCTCGAGAATATTTAATATATGCATACTTGACATAGTTACGATTATCTTTGTTTTCCATCCATTTTCTTTTCAAATAATAATTTACATACATATCCCCCAACAGAAACAGACATAACAAGAGGTTCTAGTCGGGAGCTCCCGACTAGGGGATACCCTGAACCCTCTTCTTCGAACATCAAATGCATATATATTCTATTTTAGAAGCAACATATCATGTTTCGCGACTGTAGCTCTTATTATTTACCAAAATTGCCCAAAAAACAGGATATCGATATCGATTTTTATCGAAACGGTTATCGATAGTCGGAAACAAACTCGATCTGCACAGGCACTAGGAACACCTACATCTAAAATTTCATACATACATTTGGATTTTGCACAAATACAATATACCCTTATACCAATTTTTAATGGGCTCAGAGTATAACAAAAAAAATAAAATAACACTGCAAAATAAAATCAAAATAAATAAAATAACTTAAAATAAATAAATTATGATGGATCGACTTCGCGTTCATTTTGATGCTTAATATAAGTTTAGATAATAAATAATCTTATCCGATTCGCGGCTAAATTACTACGTCACGTAACGTACACTACGTAACGTAACACAAGATTGTTGCCTTTTCAGTGAAAGATCTTTCCTGTTCCCAAGCTGGGATAAGTTTGCAACAAATCCTAAATGGAAGTTGACTGATATATAAATGCATACATACATGCATACATACATATATATGTATATAAATATGTATACACGACAATCCCGCATCGAAGTCGGCTTCACTGTTAGTTCAAGCGTAAATCAAAAGTTCAAACGTTTAACGGAAAAGGGTGCGGTTAGTTTTCATATTTATGTACGCAAGTACATACATGTATATATGTAAGTATGTTTATATGTATGTATGTAAACATATGTATGTATGTAGTTAGGTGTGTGCAGATGCTCTAAAACAATCGCAAAAAACATAGGAGAAACCGTTATCTTAATGTGCCGAAGTCTTAATACCCTTGATATTAATAGTATTAAACCTAAGCTTTGGATATTAACTAATCAAGATCTATACGAATGAACCCTTCCAGTCTTTACTTTATCTGTATCTGGCCATATTGCACAACTCTCAAATCCTTATCACCCTATGTATATACATATATACCTAACAGGTACATCGGTGTCTTTCATAATAACATATTTGGCGATGCATTTGTAATACCCTCTCTTAAGGTAAGGCGGTTGCCACTCGGCAACGATGCGATGATGCGGGCAAAAGAAAAGAAGGTAACCAGTATAACGGCTGACCACGAACTGTGGGGGTGGGGGGAGTCGATGGGTTCAAGTCGTGCGTGAGCGCCACAATGCGCAAATGCAAAGGCAAAGACAAACGCAGCTCCAAAGAGAACAACAAGCAGCACTTGCACATGCCCAGCACAAGGAAACAAAAGCAAGTAAGAACAGCTAACGGTATTTGCAAGCGCATAAAGGCAGCAGCAGCAGCAGCAGTGAAAGAAACGGAAACGTCAACGCAAGCAGAGCTGAGCATACATATACACGCTCACATGCATACATACATACACGAATGTACACCGCACCAGACTAGCGTTTATTGCGCATCCCTGATCGTCGGCGACGCAGCTGCTGTCGGCGCAGATGCTGCCTACGCGACGGCGACGTCGACGCCGTTACGCATTAATTATGGGAATTTTACTTTTCGGAAATACGCGCGCACATGCACTCTGTGTGTGGGTGGTTGATTTGTGCTGCGGCAGCGCATGTTGCAGCAACAACAACAACCACAAAAAAAAAAAAGAAATCAAAAAGAGAATGCAACCCAGCTTCTTCCCAGGCAATGAAAACGACATAACGCGCTGCCGACGCCGCTGCCTGCACAGCATTGACATTGGCTCTCATGTTGCTGCTCTTCTTCTTCTCCTTCGTCTTCGTCGTCGTTTTGTTCTTGTTGTTGCTAGTCTTGCTTTGGTGAGTTGCCGAACCGGTTGTGCCGGCATTTCTCACAAAAAAAAACACACACACACACACTCACACAGGCACAAACACAGGGACACTTTTTGACTTGTTAACTACGGCTTGAAATTGCGCTCTCTTAGCAATGAAATGAATGTACTCGCTCCACATTTGTACATATTGCTGTTTCTTGCATTCCTCAACACATACAAACACACACACACGGGCGCGCACGCTTTGAGCCACCTAAAAGCTCGGCTTAAACAATTTAGCTTTTACCTTTTATTTGAATTAGTTGCTGTTTTTGTTGCTATTTCACTCTCGTTAATAGTATTTATTGCTGAAAGAGTAATCAGCAAACACTTAGCAGCATTTACTTATAATTGTTAACACACGACGCACATTAAATACACGCTAAAAGAACGCTTTGTTTTTATTGTTGCTTTTTCAATTCTCGCACACTTTGATGGGCGCTCACAGCCTCTCAACTTAGACTCTCATTTCGAGCCATGCACTTTCTAGACACGCACACAGTCAAAAAACAAACACAAAAAGAAACCAACAATTTAATATGCGTTTATATTTGAATAAAGAAAAAAAAAAACAGTTGCAATTTTACGCGCACAATAACAAACGTCCGTCCACTGCGTGGCTCACGTCGCGAAGCGTTGCTTTCTCAATGAGTACTAAAGTGAAATGTAGAACAAAATGAACGTCGCAATTACCGTTCTATGTTACGTGTGACGTACTCGCAACTCGAATGCAGTTACGCGCTGCTTATGTTGCCTGCCACACAGCATGCTGTGAATTTAGGCAAAACATGTATGGAAAATATTGAATGGTTTTAATTACATAAAATATAACAAATTAAAGTGCGGTTAATATAACGAAAATTTCAAATGAAATGGGTTCGTAGTTGCAGGCGCGCATCTTTGCCAATACACGAACCACCGTGAGCAGCAACGTAAGCGCAACGGGAGCAACGTAAGCGCAAAGTGAGCATTGTTATCGCACGATAAGATTTACTGTGCACATTGACAAAAGCTCATGGATATCGCATTGGCGGTTCTCGTTATTGATTTGAATTTTCAATATTACTATTTAAATATTTTGTACCCATAGAAAATGTCATATTGCAATTTTTTTTTTTTTTTTTACAATTTTACCGTCATTTTATTTATATAAATTTATGATAAAAATTAAATTTAATACAAAATTAGCGAAAAAATGATAATAATAATTAAAAAAAAACACACACTCATTTATAAGTACAGTTAATAAATTAAACAATAGCGAGCTGTGTTTAAATAATTGACAAAAGGACAGCGGCTAACAAGCTATGTGGATACACTACCCATTCATTATTTCAAAAGTACACCAAAAGAAGTCGATCTGCGCTTCTTGCGGTGTAGTGTGGAAATAAATGCATATTCATTAATTAAACGCCTTAATTGTTTTTTGTTTTTGTTTTTGTTTTTTGTTTTTTTAGTATATACACAAAGAGTTTTACAATTACAAGAGGAAAAAGAATATAACATTAGACATTTTATCATTTCAAAATTTTTTCTTCAGTTGGCAAACTTTGAGTTTGGCAAATTATTTGCAAATTAAGAATTACGAAAATAATTCAAAAAAAAAAAAAAATAACGCTCTTGCGCGCCAACAATCTGAAAACATTCAGTTATATGTATTAATCGTGGTGAGGGGGGAGGGGGGAGGGGGAGGGGGGGGGGGCGGAAAAAAAGCTTTAAAGTAGCACCTATTATTTCAATTTCAATTATTTATGCTACTGCTGGCTGCTGGCGCCAGTGGGCGTGGCAGTGCAGACAGATCTCGAAGCTTCTCTGCGGGCAGCATTAAATCGCGTTTAAAAATAATAATTCATTAATATTTTATTGTAGTCTTGCCTTCGACATTAGCAAAACTCAAATCAGGCACTCGAAAAACCACGCACACACACATACACACTCACACTCACACGCACACGCACACACTTGCATACACACACTCGCACACTTACTTAACGTAGTTATCTTTAGTACAGATTAATATAGCACTTGTAACTCCTTCGTTCAAAATTTGCAAGTTTCATTGGAGAACATGAAAATCATTAATTAAAAAAAAAAAAAAACATAAAATATATATATATATATATAATTAAACCGTTTCGCTTTAGAAAGTTCTTAATTTCGTGACTAGGCAAGTTTTACGTGTTTTTTTGTTTATGAAAAAAAGCATCGCAACATCGCACATTATAATTATAAATTGTTTTGTTTTGTTTTAAATTGAATTCTATTTTTCGTCTGCTGTCGCGTTTTAAAAACGCGCGCGCGGTTTGAAACTTGGCTAAGGGCGTTCGTTGTTTTTAGTACATTTGTTTTAGAACCGTTTCTTGTTTGCGTTTTAGTACGTTGTTTTAGTGCGATGTTAATTGTTCGTTTTTTCTTTTGTATTTGTTAATTCAATTTCTGGCGCTGACGCTGCAGCTGCTGCCGCAAACACTTTACAGATGCTCATCGCCATGGTAACCGTTGCGCAACGGTTGTCGCTCCTGTGAATGATCCGCGGGCCGATTGCGCTTGAAGAAGCCGCACTGAAAATGACCACAATGCAGTTGGTTTGTGTCTCAGCTAAACGAATGTTCTAATGGGCAACTCACCTTGTAGAGCAGCAGCACGAGCAGCAGGAAAATGAGAGCACCCGCACAGGCGGCCAGGACGACCACCCACAGAGGCACCACATCGGGCACCTGCAGCGGCTCCGGCTGCGCCTTGTAGAAGATCTCGTGCGTCTTCACAATCTTATCCTTGGGCGTGCCAATGAAGGGCAAATTGGTGACATTGGCCACCGCCAGCGTGGACACATTGAGGGGCACATTTGGCGCCAGCTTCTCCATGGTGGTGGCCACCATGCGAGCGCGTATGGCCACAAACGCGGCATCGGCATCCTCATAGCCCAGATTTTCCAAATAGCAGCGCAGCTGGCGACACTGGACGCCCAGGCAAGGTGAGGTGCCGTTTGCCAATCTCATCTCTATCGTGGTGGGCACCTCACGTCTAAAGCGTCGCTGGCTGGAGCTCGAACTAGAGCTGCTCCACTGACCATGCTGACCCTGACCCAGAGCCTTCTGCTGCTGATTGTCCTCGTCGTAAAAGTCCTCGTTCTCGCGTCCATAATAGGGCTTGCTGCCAGAGCTGTAGACCACATGATGCTGCACGGCGGGCTGGCCGAACTGCTGCGCCTGGCTGTTGTGCAGCTCATTGTCCACATTGCCGCGATTAATGGCGCCCAGATCGAGTGTGCCCGCATGGAAGTTGCCGCTGCGTCCGCCATAGATGGACTTGTCGGCCGGACCACCAGCATAGCCGCCGCCAGCGCCTGCCACATAGAGCTGCTGCTGCTGCTGCTGCTGTGGCCGCGATTGATAGCTGGAACTGGAACTGGAGCTGGAGCTGAACTGTGGCGATGCCATTTGTATGTGACCATGTGTGCTATGTCCGAGCAGCTCAGTTCTGGGCAGGCTATAGCTGGCGCTGGTCTGATTGATGTTTGCCTCCTGCTCGGCATCCGCTTGATTGGCACGATTCAAGTGCACATAGGAGGCATCACCGGTGGCATCCTGTGCATCCTCGCGCTCCAACAGCTCCTTCTGCTTGGGCGTCAAGCTGCGCTGATTGTCATTGCCGACGGTGACGCCAACCGTGCCGCCCGTTTGACTGCCATGCGATATCTGCAAGTGTCTACCGCCACCATCAGCTTCGCTGCCGGCGACAGCCTGGCCGTCGAGCGGCACCGAATTGCTGATCGCGCCCTGGGCATGCAAATAGGATTTCCTTTTTAGTTTATCATTCAGTTTGAGGCCTAGCTCGTTGACTTCAATCATGTCGCATCTGATCTTGCCGCCCGTCTCTGGCTGATTGAGTATGTACATGAGTGGATCTCCGGATTCGGTCTGATATGGATAATAGATGTCTACAACGGCTCGCTCAATGAAGGAGCTCAAATTGTTGCGCAGCTCGTAGATGTGCACGACCTGGGGACCCAGATCCTCCTCGATGGTGGCATTGCCTGGCGCCTTATAGTCAGCAGCCTTGTACACTTGATAGTCCGGCAGGGAGGTGCCCTTAATGGTCAGATCGGTTTCCACCCAGACGCCGATGCTCTTGCTGCCCACATTGTCGAATTCTGAATTCTTGCGTTCCACATTTGTGGAATTGGCCACCCAGAAGAAGTCATAGCTGGACGTGTTTGTGTTTTTCTCCGCGGGCACAAAGCTGACAGTAAAATGGGTCTGGAGGAGCATTACGAATCAAGTGATTAGAGAGAGAGAGAGAGAGAGAGAGAGAGAGGGAGGGAGAGAGAGCGGCTTACCATATTGCCACCCTTTAGCGGATTTCCAATATCACACTTGAGCGTGTAATTGTTGCTGCTATCGGGCCCCGAACAGGTGATGGGCAGGTCAATCTTCTCGCCCAGCTGCTGTACTTTGATGTATTGCAAGTCCCGGGGTGTCATCATGTAGAAAGCCGCCTCAAAGGCATCCTCGTTGTTATTCTTGATGAGCACCTCAATGGTGAGCGGCTCGCCCGAGACAAACAGATACTTGTCGACGGCCCTATGGAAGAAAGGACGAAATTAAATTTCATTATATACACGTGTTTATTCCCTTGGACAGGTTGACAACTAGCTTACGTGACGGTCAACGCCAGATCCGGCTCACAGATGTTATCCGGTCCGCAGTTCTTCTGTATGTTGATTGCATCACGTAAAATGATCTCACGATTCTGATCGATCACCGGCTCGAGGGCCTCGCGACGTCTGCGGACGAGCGATTCGAGTGGACGACTGCTGCGCAGATTGTAGCGCGCCTCGACCTCCAAGGGCGTCAGCTTGTCCTGCACACCGTCCATAAGGTAGACGGTCTCATTGAGGCAATATTTCTGGCCATAGCTGAGGCGTATCGTCTGGTTGCGTATGTGTTTGCCCTCGTCGCGCAGGAAGAACATGCGCGGATTGCGCGTCTTCTTCGCGTCCAGCAGCCAGGAAACCTCAAAGTCCAACTGATTGGGCAGATAGCGGCCGGTGTAGCTCCAGCAGGTGCTCAACGGCATGCAGGGCACCTTTGTGTGATCCCGCTGCAGCTGGCAGCTGCGATCGTCCAGGCTGATCAGCTTCGAGCTGCTGGCAAAGACGGTCTCCGCATTGACAGCGGCCACCGGGCGTGATTTAAATATGTACACCTGATCCGAGGCATAGGCGCCAACGGCCAAATCCGGATACGTATTGCCATCCATGTCCACGCCGCCGGACAGCGCAAAGCCAAAGGTGCGCGGATATGGCGCCGCCTCTACCAGCTGCTCAGCCTTGATTATCTGCGAGGGCTTCAGCAACGGACCCAGTGCGGAGCCATGATAGATGTAAACAACGCCGCGACCCTCGGGTCCGTCGTAGGGTGCGCCAACGGCAAAGTCACCATAGCCATCGCCATTGACATCGCCCAGTGTGGTCAGCGCCAGGCCAAAGCGACCCTTGGTATGGAAGCCATCGCGTATGTGCTCCCTCGTCCAATGCTCCGACTGTAACGACAGCAAAGAGGATACACCTAGTTAAAGAACCAACTTATGCCTTATGCTCATGCTGGTGACTTACCGGTGTTGTGCCGCCCTGGAGCAGCACATAGACGCGTCCCACATCGTA